CCTACAGTTTTATTTATAAAAAGTGGCTGTGAAATGCGCCTCCCACAAAGGCTTAGCATAGGAATTGTGTGAACTTTCCTTCTTTAAATCAAGTGTTTGAAACTTAAAGATGCTATGAATAGGGCTGTGCTAAAGTGCAAGGAAGCAGTGACAACGCACCGTTTAAGGAGTTAAAGGGAACCTTTGTGACAGCTGCGTTTCCCTCCATCGCTCGACGGACTACTACAGGCGTCTTTGCGGTGGAGGCTTTTACGGGAGTCACTAAAAAAGAAGTTAAAATATAGCAATATAAGTGGCTCGAACTGTCGCTAAGCGCAATGCAAAACGTTTGGCAGGGTACATCAAAAATATGGTCTTTCGTGAAATTATGAAAGGTTATTTCATTACTTAGGTGAAATTTTAATAGTGATTACTGCGCAGTTGAAGTAATTACCAGTCGTGTATAATTATACTGACTTGGAAATAAATCTACACACCTAACTCAATAGAAAGATCGGTCTCTCGGTTATCATCTTCAAAGCAGCAACTGAAAGTGGGGCCCGTGATGAAGAATCATCGTGAGGAAAAATACCCACGGGAATTTACTTGGGCGAAAAATGCCAGGGGTACGAAAGTTCTACCCAGAAAACTAATCTAATTCAGAAAAAGGGAAGCATAAGACCCGATAATGATCAAGACAGATCAATAAATTTCAATTCACCGTTAGATGGACTACCAGTCTTACCCTGTTGGATGGAGTTGGTCGACTTTGGCGATTTGGACGAGTGTGGCTGCTGGGCGGACAATGTGGGCTTTTTTGGTGACTCCCGGGGACCTATGAAGCAAAAAAATCAAATAGTTAATTTTGTTGATGAAATATGTCCGGGTGCTAAATCCCAGGTGAATGTAAATTCTGTGCAGAAAACTGGTAAAGAATGAAAGTTAGAAAATGCTTGCTGTACTGGTAGGATTACGTCCAAAGGTCTGTACGCTCTGTTTAATCCAAATGCCTCTGGCATTGGTCGAATTAAAGCGCTGAGCGAACTTCAACGGGAAGATTTACCGACAATGGTTGCACATTTCCTGTTTGCTTGTCTATACGCGTCCAACAGTGGCGTTTTGGTCTACCCATCTCGAAGCGAGAGCTGTATTTTTAAAGGTAGAGTCACCGTATTTGTCGTCCCCAGCGGGTAGAATCGGCAAACCTTGCGGGGTGGAAGCACGATGAGTAGGTCGTGAAGACTTTACATCTGCTTCATAGTTAAGTATCATGATGATTGCCCCAGAAAAAAAACGCAGTTACTAAATAACGAACTTCGTGAACCAGGGCTAAAATGCTGGTCACACGCGAAAACTGCAATAAATTACCTGGCAACTTAGTAGCTAGTACTCTGCACTGACTGATTGCTCGCGAACTGAATGACGGCATTATCGCTGACACCTCGGCAAAAGTCAAGCGATGGCGAGAACTCCGCGAGCACCTTCAATAGTCAACCCTTCCGCTGCGCAGAGGTTCTATTCCTCTCCAACCTATGCAGCGCCACTCGGAGGAAGAACTTACCAATGCAATACAGGGACTGCAAAAGAAGGCAGAGGGCGGTATTCCCACTGAAATCCCCAAGTTCTATTGACAGTCTGACGCATTAGCTTAATGTGTATGGACAAAGTCGCCCTTGATGACTAGGGCCTCAACATTGTTATGCCAGTCGTCAAGGAGAGATAAAACACGGTGCGAGAAATACCACGGCAGAAGTCCTTTTCAGGCGACTCCAGACTGTGCGTGATTACTGGACGAGGCCCAACCAAGTCGGATTCGGTTATGCGTGGACTACATATCCCCACTGAGGTGCATTCTTAAATTTGGTCATAACCGCGTTCGATTTCTGCCCCCGCGGACCACTGTGGCGGATGACACTAGATAGTATACCAGCAAAAGCATCGCAACAAAGGCTTACTACCGCTGATTGATCCATCACCCTGTCGATCAAGAAGTTGAAGAGAACTGAGGAAAAATGGGTATCTTTGTCGAACTCCAAATGTCAGTGGGAAAGAATCTGACTCTTCACCAAAGGCTCTTACTCGGGTTGATGTGGTGCTATAGTAGGCTTTGATCAGATGGAGCAACTTTATTGGGAGACCGTCAGGAACGAAGTTTTGCCACAAGGGTTATTTGTCGATGGAATCAAAGGCGGTCTTGAAGTCAAAAAAAATAGACAGTGGTTATCGTATACAGTACTTACTTACTTGTACTTGTAACGGCTGCGATCATGACTGATCTAGCCGGCCTCAATTATATCCCGTATGGTGCTTCTCCACGCGCAACGGTCCGTGGTCGCAGACCTGGAGAGTTCGACCCATTCTCTTCGCCAGCTCCGGGGACCAAATACCGAATGTCCGAGAACCACTTCCATGTCCTGACGGACTGAGTCGA